AAAAAAAAAAAAAAAAAAAAAACACATCATAGTAAAACCAATACCTTCTCAGCTTCGCATCGAAGCTAAAATTTGTAAATAATTAATTATATTTTTTTTCTTTATTATTAGGTAGAGTTGATCACTGCAACAAAACTGTTGACATCTACGAAGATATAACTAGTCCTGAAGTGACTCCATTCAACATTGGAAAACCACTTTATTGTTCTTACCGATTTCGTTCCTTTAAAGGAACACCAAAAGATTACATATTAAGAATTAGATTTAAAAAATTCAAGTTTGGTGTATTGGTCAATGGAACATATTGTCAAGGAGGATTTATGCAGGTAATTATTACTTTTAATTATTTTTAAATTAATGAATTGTCATTACAAATAAAATATTTTTCGGTAAACATAAAATTGTTTGGACAACTTGACTACTGGCTGTTGAAATCGGAATAAACATTTAGTTCATAGCTTACAGTTATGGTTAATCAATTTATATTGTCTATTATAAAAATTGGAGTTTTATTAAAAGTCACAATTTCAAATGAGTAATAAGTAAAATTATTTTGTTTACAACTGTTTCTTTAAGTAACAAAAGTCTATAAAAAACGTTCATTCTACTTAAATGAACGATGGCGTTTTGTTTCAACGACTGTCGGGGGAGTAAAGTTTCACACTTTAATTATACAGTTTTCAACAATTTGTATTACATTTTGAATTACCGTAACATTGTGGCTTTATTAACGATGTTTTGTTGTATTTTTATAACTGATACTTATATATATACAGGGTGTTCAGTAAGTCAGGAAACGGGTTTCTATTGTTCTCATTGTTTGTATCAATGAGAACAATAGAAACCCGTTTCCTGACTTACTGAACACCCTGTATATATATGAAACGAAAACAACAACATTAAGTTTTTCATCAAATATTTTAATAAACGATTTAAAAACACCGTTAATATAATATTAAATTTCCCTTTAAATTCTCACCTTATTAATTGATTTTACAAAGTATTATAACTTTGTAAAATCAATTGATGCTTTGGAGTAAAAAAAGGTCAAACGCAATTTTTTTAATTCTCAATTTTTGATTAACTCATTAAATATCTATTTATTCTGAAGTTTTTATTGTGTTGATTAAATAGTAAGACAACTCAACATAAAATAATAAATTCCAAATAGTAACATAACAATTTTAAAACTAAAATGCTCTAATGAAAATTTATTACCATTAATAATCAAAACATTTTTATTTTAAAGTGATACTAAATATAATATTATGCATTAGCGTTTTAATTTTTGTTTTTTTTTTTTGAGAAATTGTTAGATATAATTTTTACATTATTATTTTTTATAAAGCCACTCGATTGAAGTTACATTATTATTAGATAGCACTTTTATAAATGAGAAAAAAATTAATTTTAGTCAAATATTTAGATGTTCTCTGTGTTTTCTTTCGTTAATCATAATTATAGTTTCATATTTTCAAATGGACTGCATTCAAATTTTATATTTTATCTTGAGTGTGCAACAATAGTTGGTGCGAAGCTAAATATAATCGTACCATTATTGTTCGAGCCTTTGTATAAATCTGTAGGACTAAAGAAAGCAATTAAATTAGAGTACAGTTGGATATAAAATATTATTTAAAATTCATCACCATTACCTCAGAGATTTATTTAAAAAATTCTTATAAAAAACTTGTATACACTTTATTTATTTAAACAAAGGGAAAAAGAAAAAAATTCGAGCCAAAGTAATTTTGAAGTCTGCGTAATGAAACATTTACAAAATCTAAATTCAAATCATCAAGCAGTTGATATTAAAAAACACAAACATTAAGATAATTTCTCTACATAAGAAAAGAATAAAGCATAAATAACAGCTGTTATATAAAATAAAAGTCCACGGGAATTGTTCGTAATATGAACTTAGTACGCAAATGTAGATTTTTCCATTGTTTGATGTCTGCAAATAATAATTCGTCGATTATTATTTTATGGTATATATAAATATTAACCATGAGATTACTAATAATGATTGGAAAGTATTTGTGTTATTTGAATAAAAAAACAAGTATTTGTAAATTAAACAAACAATCTTTATTTCTTTGAAGTTTCTTCGTTCTGTTTTTTGTGCTTAAGGATAGTCTTTGTAGTAGGACAACTTTATTTGGAAGAATTCGGTGAAATGCTTTTTACAACTTTTAAGAAGATATTATTTTTATAGATGGAAACAAAAAAGAATTATACAGTGTCGAAAAAAAATAAAAAATCTCAACTCCCCTCTGGCGACACCCTATTTTCATCAGCTGTATTATTGTTTCATATTATATATACATATAAATTTAACATTCAGCACGCCGATTGAATACAAAATTAATACTCCACCACAACATCTGCAGGTCAAGTACGATTTATCTAACGCTTGTATTGATGTTTTTGTATTTTATGTTAAGCCCTAGAGCAAAAATACATTTTTTATATATTTTTCACATACTAACGTCAATTATTATAACGCGCCGCGGGTAATTTCTATCGGATTTAAAGGAAACTCACCGATATTTAATACAGATGTATTTTAATATATAAAATACAAAAAATAATCTACTCCAATTTTTGTAGTTAAAAACGCATTTGTTTTACTGACTATGACGAAACACAATATGTGAAAGGATTTAAGTATCTGTGAGGCAGTAACAGTCTAATGGGAATTTAAATTCCATTTTTTTGTGCTGACTCAATGTATACACCAGCCAGTAATCTGAGTCGATCAATCTTGTGTTTTCATTTCATAAAATCTCGAAAGAGGAAACTTTTTTGTTTTTGCGAACATGTGAATTCGTTTGAACTTATGTACAGTTGATTTTAGATAATTTACGACTATGTATAATCCGACAAAATAAACTGTATATTAATACAACACACGTTCAACTCGGATTAAATATCTTGAAAATAATGAGAATAAAGAGTCCTTAAGGTTTTACACAAATAACGTTATCATTGGTGAATGTGGCAGGTAAACGTGAGATGAGGGTCTGTAAAACGAGATTAAAGCCGGTCCTTTTTAGGGACCAAGTTGAGCGCGTTGATCTCATAATACTACATAAAATGTTAGCGTAGGAATCGAGGCCAAAACCCATTCCTAACGGATCCTGCCTTGCATACGCCATACATAACCCCAAAGTACTTAATTAATTCGTTATCCCCCGAGAACAGCGCATAAAAAAATAATAAAAACAGTGCTAATATATAAATATTTTACAATGTAAATGAAGGTAATTGATAAAACATGACTAATTAAATTTAAAGTTGAAAAAAAGAGTAGAACGTCTTAAAATGCGTCTGATCGTTTTTCAGAATGCAAACGTCATTAGATGTAAAGTACAGAATCAATTACAATGTGTAAAACATTGAGTATTAAACATTTAACTCGTCCATATAAATTCCTTATCAAATAATAGGATAATAAACATTCTAAAATAAATAATTCAATCGGAATAATTCAATTAATTTTCAATCATTTTAATTTGCTTAAATAAAATCGTATAGAATGAAAATTCTATTAATAACAGAATATGAATAATTCAACAATAATTTATGCCATTTAAAATCAATTCATAAAAAAAACATCCTTAAAGCTGTGCCCATATTCTAAGTTATAATTAAAATATTTAGCATATTTTGTAATAAACTAAAATTAAAGAAAAGGTCTGCCTCTGACCAATGTAAATTTTTCTTAACAAAATGTTATATTGAAGAGGTCAAAGAGTATTAAAAAAGTTTATCGAGTCATTAAAAATACTTTGCAGATCTTGTTTCTAATAATTCAAAATAATTAAATGAAAACAACTTTTTTCGATACGTAGTATTGTTACGATAAAAATATTTTCTAAATGAAAATCAATTTTGGGTCGATAACAACTCACATAAACGTCTATGTTTTATTGTAACACACTACATTAAACGCGTATTTGGTTTTAAGAAATATTGAATTGTATTGAGTATCGAGTTCAACGGTCTTTTTATCTCCCGTTTTTACTGCCACAGGAAATTAGGAGTTCCTCTCGTACTTTGAAAAGTTTTTGTCGCATATAGTTAATTGGCAAAGGGTGCCCATTAAAACGCGATGGTCGTCATAGATTAGCTGACTGGTCGGGCGTAATACTTTAGATTGTATCGACTTTTACGGCACGGAACATTACTGCATTGTATATATACGTACATAATACACACACAATATAAATGTGTACAGGAAGTGTCCATCGGACAGGCGGAGAAAAATCCTTAAAGTACACCATTACAGTTGAGTATCGAATGGATTTATTACATAATCTATTGCATAGATAACACAGTGGCGGCGTATAAAATCATTTACACCGAATTAACCAGGCATTGAGATTTTCAGCGAATTCATACGGACCGTTTGCGCCAAAGATAAAAACCATCACCTTTAACAGTAGTGTATTGCGCCAGCTATTGTATAATTAATTAACTGTGCATTTTTTGGTTAGTTTTTCAATATTTCTAGTTATTTAATAAATATACCCGACTTCCAATTGTTGTTAATAAATTTCATAGGATTTGAACATGGTTTTTCATATTCCATCGATTTTTTTGAATAAGACATAAATATAAGAAAACAAATTATAGTTTTTAAAACTCAAAAAAATCAAGTGGAAAATATTTTGATTATTCAGAAAGTATTCAGTAAAATTAAACAAAAATGCGCAGTCTTGTGATGAATTACTTTTGAGTATATACAGAATGATTCTTTTATCGCTAACCACTCAAATTTTCTTATTTATTAACATTTTAAAGTAATAATTTTAGTTGAAGAGTGTGTGCTGCTATTTTTATCATTAAATTTTTCCTGGTCGTTCTTCCTCCCTCTTAGATTTAAAAAAGGTGAATAATTTCCGAAGTACTGATCCAAAAGTTGTTATCGACCAGTCATTTTCTTAATTAAATTATTTCCCATTTAATAAGCTAATTTTATATGTATGTTTCCATTAAAAAAGATTAAGTTGAAACTACTATAAGATATCAAGGATAAACCTAAAAATTATTTTATAACGGGTAATTTAAAATATATATGTAACTAACAAAGGCCGAACATTTTTTTTTTTCAAATAACTTAATATTTTAAATGAATTTAAATGGCTAGCGTTAAAAGAATCATTCTGTAATAGAGAAACTTCTTATTAGACATGCGCTATTCATGAGAAAACTGTATTTCTTTAAATTATTTATCGTAAGTGAAAACCAAACTCATTGTAAAATAATACATATGTAGAGCATAACCTAATTGGATTTACGAAACCACATGAAAAACTTT